TGGGGGAAGTGTGTGTGGAGGGGGGTGTCCTAGGGGAAGAACTAGATGCAGAGCGGGTCTTCAATGGGGCAGGCAGGTGTAGGGGTGAGAGATGCAGGGTGTGGGAAGAGGACCAGGAATGAGGAGCCATGAGCGACCAGGACCTGTTGCTATAGCGACACCCACATAAGACCTGTACACTAACGTATACCCATGTCTTAACTCATGCTAGAAAACATGCAAAATTAAATGTCATCCTTTCCTTGAAGTAGAGCTACCAAAGCAAGTTTCGAAAGGAGGTTGGCCCTGCTTGGTCCTAGTGGTCCAAAAGGGGTGGTCTGGGTTTCCCAACGAGGCGGTCCATGGATCCTCCTGGGAGGCCTTGTAGAAGAGCATTAGGGGAAGGACAGCATAGAGGGAGAGAGGAAACGGGAAGCACTCCATAAAATTCAGTCTTGGAGGAAGCAGCCACTCCCCACAGGCTGCCCAGGGTCAGTGGAGCAGCTCTGCGTGCCACTGTACAGATCCCCAGAACTGACTTCCAAGGAGTTCCCACAATGGCTAGGGCTTCAAACTGCACTGGCAAAACCTGAAGGGCGAGAGAGGTGGCCATGGGCAGGTGGGAAGCTGAACCAGTCCTCCTCTGTGTTCTCAGGGACCCTGAGGTGCTTGTGTAGATGGAAGACAAGGGTACAGGGGTGGGAAGAGACAGCAGCCAGTGTCATGGGAATAAGCCTGGGCCCAGAGCTGGCCAGGAGCATGCCCAGGAATTCCAAGTCTAGCTCAAGCACTCTTTCAGGCCCAGGGGGAACAGGAGCAAGCTCTGAAGACTCAGCACGGAGCCCCACTTTGTGGGAAGCCAGGATTCTAAGAGGCTTTTGTCCTGCACTTTGGAGGCAGCACTTACTGAAGAACTAACAGAACTGATGATACTTCTATCCTGGCAGGGTGGCATCAGAGGAAGGGTACCAACACACCTAAGCATGTAGGTCTGCAGCAGCAGTGGCAGCCGGGTAGGTGAATGCAGCATGTGAGATAGCTGGGGTCAGCTCTGTAATGTAGAGGGTAGGGCACCCAGGCCTCTAGAGACGCAGGGATCAGAGCAGGCCCCATCAGGTCATAGGGATCCTGTGCAATGAAGTATGCTCCCAGGGAGGGGTGAGCACTGGAGGGATTGGGTGTTGCCATGAGCTTGCTCTTGGCCATCTTGGCGTTGGCCTTGGCAAACTCTATCCTCAGGGTTTGCGGGTTCTCTGGGTCAAAGCGAATACTGTTCAATGTATTTTTGGCCACTTCTGCTCCTGCCTCGTTGTCAAAGATCACAAAACCAACAGGCTGTCTTGATGTGAGTTTGATCAGGGACCTTCGTACCCCCTGAATGGCCGGAAGAGTAGGTACAGTTCTCTAGGTTTAATGTCCACAGGGAGGCCACTGACAGATAACGTTCGAACCTCCTCCTCTAGGGTGTCACAGGAGGCCATGCCCGTGCCCATGCTGGTGCAGTGCTCCCCATGCAGCTTCAGGCTGCTCATAGGGAGAGGGAGAGGCAGGCGAGGGAGAGCTGAGGGAGAGCTGAGGGAGAGGGGAGGAAGAGGGGAGGGAGAGGGAAGGGGATGAGGAGGGTGAGCGCAGCTGGTCCAGCACGGAGATGGGAAAGGGAGAAGTGAGCTGTGCGCTCCAGGAGTACAGGACTGGGAGGTGAGAGGGGCAACCACAGTGTCTGGCTGGGTTCACATCAAGATAGGCAGATGTGGGAGGCAGGATGGGGAGGCACTGGGAACCAGAGCCGATCTGCATGTGGAATTTTGACCTCAGTAGCAAACAGTGCCCTACTGAAAGACGGTAGAAGTAATCATTGTCTAGCAAATAGCCACCATCTGTTTCCTACTTGGGTCAAAATCCCCATCTCAAGATCGCTGAGAGCTGTACAGCATTTATGCTCTTTTGGCCATGGCTGAACCGGTTTGAACATGTTATTAGTCCTGTTTCCACTCCATATATACTCAATCAGAATTTACAGTTTTTAACAAGATCCCCTGGTGGTTCTTATAAATGCCCAGATGATTAATATGAATTACCTGGGTATCTCATTAAAATGTAGATTCTAATTCAGTATATCTGAAGTGGAAATGCAAATTTTCAGTAGGGGGCCAGAATGAACCAGTTCAAAGCCTTAGCTCACACCAATGTATCATCATCCAGAATCACTGGCATATTAAATCTTTCATTGCAAGGTCACTATCAGTTATAATGTGATAACAGAAAACACATTTACTGTCCTGTCTGAAAACAAACAAAAATGGACAATATATATCAACAATAATTTTAAAGAAACGACATCAGCTAACAAAAAGCCATTACCCTGGCTTACTAGGTTTTCACGGGTCGTAGTATTGAAAGAAGTCCAGACAGAATGCAACAAATGTCCTGCATTAAAGAGACAGACCTATAAGTCCAGAAGTACTGGAGAAGAAAAACTGCAGGGAGAGAAAACTCCAGAGCTTTGCTAAAGGACTGCTGAAGTATTCAGTAAAATACTGACTAGTGCTTACATATGATGAAACTTCTTGGCTAGGGGAAAGAAGCTTTTGAAAGGATTTAAAAGGTATGGAAAGCATTCAAATGGAATTTCTGGAGAAGACAGGAACAGTACCTACCCTCCTCACACCAGACTGAGTCCAGTGTTTGTTTCAACATCTCTACCAAAAATCTTCTTAACTCAGAGCATTAGTTAGAGTATTCAAGAAAGCCTTGGATTAGTTGTCTTTGTGTACCAGAGTCCATTCTGACTCCAGGTGACCTTAAATGACAGAGTAAACTGCCCCATAGTTTCCTAGGTTGTAATCTTTACTAAGCAGATCACCAGACCTTTTCTCCCACAGAGAGACAAGGCCAGTGAGCTTCAATCATCAACTTTCAGGTCAGCAGTTGAAGGCTCAAGCACTGCACCACCAGGCTCCTTAGTTTGAGTACTGAACAATCAGACTGAATATTTCCCTTTGATAACAACTAACATCTTAAAAGCAAGAATCAAATTATTTAGAAGTAATTGAACTCTTCTGAGCAATTCTCAGGAATAATTCTCAAGAATATGTAAAGATTCGGAACACAAATGAAGTGCTCTATAATACAAATTTTGGAGTTTCTGGTGATGCAAATAGTTAATATGTTTGGCATCTAATTGCAAAGCTGAAAATTCAAGTCCACCTAGAAGCTACCCTGGTATAATCTAGTTTCCCCAAATCTGCCATTAAGCACCCTAGGGAAACCATTCTATGACACCCATAGAGCTGGCACCATCAGAGTTGGCTTTACAGCAACTATTTTCTTGTTTTTACAACACAAAATTTATAATGTTTTAGCAACCAGTCAAAAATGATCAGGTAAGCAAAGAAGCAAAAACATGACTTGCAATGAGTATAGGGTGGACTTTGGGGCCAGGGAGTGGTGCCCCAACAGGCTGGACTAGAAAACACTCTTAAAGGCCAGCGATCCTTGAACTAACTACAAGCTTTTCTTTCTTGGTATGTTTTAATCTTGGTATGTTTAACATCAAACCAGTGGCTTGATGTTGTTGCTATTTTGTAGTACATTGTTGCTTGGTTTTGCTCTGTCTTGTTTTTGTGCATGTTGTTGTCTCCGCAGG